CCGGGGCGGCTGCAAACGGATGTGGCTGGAGCGGGACCGAGCACCACGTTTCCCCAGCACTGGCCAGCTCCACGCGGGGGCCAGGTCGCAGGTGCTATTCCTAAGTACTAATCGCACTTCCCTGCAAAAGCATTCTGTAAATCACTTGAATGCAATATTAGGGGTGTGTGTGTGTGTGTGTGTGTTTGTGTTGGGGGGGGGGGGTGATTTCTCCGTGGAACTCACGCGCAAGCACGTTTCATGGTAACCGAACGGCAGTGAGAGCGGCGCGCCTGTATGCATCGCGATCTTTACGTTTTACTTTATTTCTTAAAGTAGGAAAATGCAGCCCATAGTACCACAATGGACAATGGGGTCTTCTTGAGAACTGTTCTAAGTCACAGAAGAGCAGGAAATGAAGGAGGGGGGGCTGTCCCGGGTACGTGGAGGAGGACATCTGCTGGGCAGCGGCGAGCCCCCTCCCGTTCCAGAAACGCTGAAGCGGCGTGGCCCTCAGGAATCGCGTGTTTATTACTGAATTAACTACGTCTGAAAAGGCTTATTGTATCACTCCCATCAGCTATTGTGTGAGACGGAACAGAGAGAGATCTTCAGAAAAGCTCCCATTTAGGTAGCTAACCACCCTTTTTGGAAAATAAAATTCAATCTTAAAACCGAAAAAGAAAAAAAGAAAAAAAAAACTAATAAAATGAATACAATCAAAACCAAACCCCCGCCCAGGCCAGAGCAGAAGGTACTTGAAACCCGAATCTGCATTCCGCCCCGCGCCGCTCCGGGGCGGGGGGGAGGGGGGGGGGGGGGGAGGCGGCGAGGGCCGGTGCCTGGTGTCTAATCGGGTTAATCCGGGAGACAAAGAATAAACCAATAGCCCTCCCGCCTCACTTCCCGCTCCCCTTCCCTTCCCCCGGCTCCTCTCCGCGTCGCCCCCTCGAGGGGGGATCAGGAAAGGGGAGGTGTGTTTGAAATGGATTCTGAAATAAAGTCTCAAAACCCTGCAACTTGTTTTAAATGCTAACACGGAGTGGCCCGGCTTCGTTTTAAATGTTGATTCTTTTTCCCAGTGGCGGGGGGTGTGGGGGAAGAGGAGGGAAAGAAGAGTTCCATAAGTCAGACCAAGCCTTACGGCTCGCCCTCACGGCCTCGGGGGAAATCCTAGGGTCGGTGTTTCCTCGGAACCAGATGAACGGCCCCCGCGGGCACCCAGGCGGCAGGACCTGCCCTGCCCGGGGACGCGCCGGGCGGCGCGGTTGCCCTTTTGAATGCCTCCTGCGGCTCGGAGCGCTGGCAGGCGCCGCGGTGCGAGTGAATGTAGCCCCGCGGAGCCAATGAGCGGGGACCGGATGCGATATATCCTCTGGGACAACAACTGCTCTGTTCCGCCTCGGATCCACATGACGCCACTTACTGCTGCCGCGGCCGCCGCAGAGCTCCCTGCCTCCTCCGGAAAGGCGAGGGCGCAGGCCAACCGCGGGCCCCCCCTCCTCCTCCCCAGGGCCGGGCCCCAGACCCTCCTCCTCCCCCGCCTTCCCCTCCTCCGCACCCCCCGCCCCCGCCTCGGCCTCGCCGCCGCGCCTCCCCAGCGCCCAGTCTGCACGGCGGAGAGCTGCGCGCCGCAGCGAGCGGAGGAGCAGAGGGGCCGGCGGAGCGCGCAGCGCCCAGGCCCCCGCGCCGCCCGGCCCGGCCCGCGCGGCCCCGCGCCGCCTCCGCCCGGACGCGGCGGCAGCCTCGCGACTTGGCCATCTGGTGGCTTTAGGGTCTCTGTAAGGCCGTCTTCTTTCCCCCCCACTCGCTCCTCCGCCGGGAAAAGAGACTCGCCGTGAGCGCTTCGGCCTCCAGTTTCATTGAGAAAAACGAGGAAATACTCCGCGTGCGCTTCTGGAGAAAGGGGGTGGGGGGTTGCCTCCAGCCCCGAACCTCATCGGCTGGGGACTTGGCTCCGGATTTTTTCCCTCTCCTTTTTTTTTGAACTCCCGCCGGTTGCTCCGAAGTTGGACTGAAGCAGAGTTTGGAAAGAAGGGGGGAAGTTTGCATCGGGGCTGGGATTACTGGCACCTCGTCGGGAGAAGAGGATCCAACGGAGAGGGGTTGGTGCAAAGCCGCGATCACGGTGAGGCGCGTTCGGCTCTTCCCCCCTCCTCCGGGCTCCGGGGCCGGCGCGCTCTGGGGCAACATGGAGTAGGTGCAGCCGGGTGGGTCGGGAGTAGGGTTTCTCTCCCGCGGCCTCCCGCTCCCTAACTCCCGGGCTCCCCGCGGAGATCCTGAGAGCCGCCCGCGGGTCTGCCGGGCCGGGGGGCTCGGCCTGCCTGGCGGAGGCTGCAGCGCGCTGGGCGCAGAGTCCCCGGTCCCACGCGCCCGCAATCTGGGGGGGGGGGGTGTTGGGGTGGCGGAGGCTCAGCCTAGAGTCGGCTCCCAGCCCCGCATCGGTCCCGAATTCGGCGCTGAGAGTCGGGAAGGGGGAGAAACGTCGTGTTTTCAGGTCGCCGTTGCAGGCGCCCGCGTTTCTAACCTGCACCCCTCTCTCTCTAGGGGAGGGCGAGTCCTGGGAGAGGCTGTCCCGAGCCTGGGGTGCTTTCCCGGGTCCGAGGGCGTGCGAGTCGCTCGCCTCACGGGGGCAGCGAGACCCCGCGAGTGGGGGGGGGGGAGGGGGCCGGGAGGGGGAGCCCCCGCCTCTGTCCCGGGCGCACGGAGCCCGGTGCGGGCGGGAGCGGCGCCCAGCCTGGCGCCGGGCGCTGCGGTTCGGAAGCGCAGCTTTCTCTGTTTTCCGTTCCCCGCGGCCGGCCCGGGTCAGGCTTTTTTCTTTTCTTTTCTTTTCTTTTTTTTTTTAAGATTGGGCTGACCCAACACAGGAAGAAAGTCATCAAGCAGTCGCGGTCGTTTTCCATTACCTGAAAATAGGTGGCAAAAGAGGCTCGTTTTCTTTTCCCCTTTGATTGGCTGGTCTACTTTTTTGTGGTCGCTGCTGTTTTTTTGTGTTTTGTTTTGTGGTGGTGTTTTTGTTTGTTTGTTTTTTAATTTGGAAACTTGTGCGTTTTCACAAAGTGGCCGTGTGAGTTTGCCCCACCCTTGTGCTGAAGTGCTTTCCCCCCTCATCCTCCATCTGATCAGGCACTTCTTCATGGGGATGGCAAAGTAAGTAACTTAAAGACTAGAAGTGAAGGGGACTGGGAGGAGAGGGGGCTGCGAAACAGGCCAGGGGTCGGCAGAAATCACTTGTAAAAAAAAAAAAAAAAGAATCTCCTCCCCCTACCCCCCAAAGATGCTTCTTTCCACCGCCAGCTAATCTGCGCGGAAAGTTCCCAGCCCCGAGGTATGGGTCCTGCATGCCCGGCGTGCAGGGGAGCCCCGGAAAATGCCCTTTATCTTTAAAGTCATTCCTCGTTAACTCCCTGGAAGATAGGTGTGTGCCGATGGCCGGCGGCGGCCCCGGACGGAGTGGCCCTGTGCGCGCGGGTGAGGCTCCTGCCGCGGCGGCGTGTCCGTCCTCCGGGCGGCGGGGCTGGGAGCCGGGCCGGATGTGCCGGGGCCTCTGCGGGAACGCCCTGCGGGGGGCTCCGTGACCGCTGCCCGGGGAGGGAGGGGTGGAGTGGCTGGGTTTGGATCTGGGGGGCAGTTCTCGGGGTGGGGGAGAATTTCAACTGGAAAGGATGGGGGGCTGGGGAAGTGTGCTCCCGAGTTTCCCCGCGCGCCCTTCCGAGGCGCCCGCCCCCCGCCCGCGGTGGCGGTGGTGCGCGGGGGGAGGGGGAGCAGCCCGCCCTCCGGCGACGTGGATCCGCCCGCAGACCCGGTCCCACCTGCCGGGGACGGTGTTGGAGCTCGTGCAGGGTTGTCTAGTCTGCCTTTCTGCTGGAAGTGAGATCCGGTTTCCAGCTCTGCCTTGGCGGGATTGGGAGGCGTGTGTCACCTGCCTGTGTCTCGTTTCTAAAAACCAGAGGGAGGTTGGATAAAAGTAGACTTTTGCCCTTTTCTGTTCTTTGTAGACTTAATGGTAAATGGGAGGCTGGTTTTTAGAAAAGGGATTGTAATGACTTGTCAGGATGATAGGTTTGGGATGTGACACTTGAATTTTTAAAACACTTCCTGTTATCACCAACCGGTGTATGTTCTCAAGTATTTTATTTTCTTTTATTATTTTTTTTTTTAGAAGCAGGCAAAGCATTTAAGATTTTGGCATAATTTATTTCTAAAACAGGGTTAACAGCTACAGAATTTTTTAAGTTCTAGGCAATCAGGCTGTAAAATATACTCTGAAGTTGAGAAATGGAAAATAAATTCCTGTCTTGTTGTTTGTGTGAGTCTGCTTGATTGTGTTCCTGGCACCTATCAGGATTTGTGCCTACTGTGTATTGAATGATAGATAGTGCAGGATTGTAAAAGTTATATAACTATTCTTTGAGGGAGGAATGTTTACTTTTTGTATGCCATATTCATCATACAGGGATCTTATAAAGTCATAAAATACCAGCTAAATAATACTTTAAGATATATGTTGTAAAAACAAATTTAAAGTAAGAATTTCTAGGCTGTATTTATTGACGCTAAAGACAAATGACCATGCTAATCTTAAACCTTCCCAAAAGTGTTCAACTTTTGAAAATGTCAGTTGCAATGGTTATGTTCTAATTCTTTGCAATTTTTACAGGGAAACCTAGACCTTGAAATTTTTATGTTGATTTGAAGAAGGAATTGATTGATACTTAAGCAATTGAAACAAAGTCAGCTTTGTGTCACTACACATCACAAGATTAAAGAATTGTCAGTATCCAGCCAAAAATTTTACATTTTGGTGCAGGCATTGATCACGTGGCTATTCTAATAATTCCCACAGCCACTCAGATACAAACCCTGTTTCTCTGGGGGAAGAAGCGGGGAAGTGAAGGGTTAACTCAGGTGGGTGGAGAGTAGGAAGTATCCTGGAGCTTAAACCTACTCTTTCCTCTTGGTTTCTGCAGGAATTCAGATGTGTTCTAAGCCTGCTGGAGTGACCACACTTCCAAGACCCGATGGAGGCCAGAGCTCAGAGTGGCAGTGGGTCACAGCCCTTGCTGCAGGCACCCCGTAACAGTGGGAGACAGCGTGGGGAGCCTGACCCTAGAGAAGCCCTCATCCAGCAGGTACACGTGCTGTCCCTGGATCAGATCAGAGCTATACGAAACACCAATGAGTACACAGAGGGGCCTACTGTTGTCCCGAGACCTGGCCTCAAGCCTGCTCCTCGCCCCTCTGCTCAGCACAAACACGAGAGACTCCACGGTCTGCCCGAGCACCGCCAGCCTCCCAGGCTCCAGCACCCGCAGGTCCATTCGACTGCACGAGCGCCTCTGTCCAGGTCCATCAGCACCGTCAGCTCGGGGTCTCGGAGCAGTACGAGGACAAGTACCAGCAGCAGCTCCTCTGAACAGAGACTGTTGGGACCCTCCTTCTCTGGGCCAATTGCCGACGGGATAATCCGGGTGCAGCCCAAATCTGAGCTCAAGCCAGGTGAGCTTAAGCCGCTGAGCAAGGAAGATTTGGGCCTGCACGCCTACAGGTGCGAGGACTGTGGCAAGTGCAAGTGTAAGGAGTGCACCTACCCGCGGACTCTGCCTTCGGACTGGATCTGCGACAAGCAGTGTCTTTGCTCGGCCCAGAACGTGATTGACTATGGGACTTGTGTGTGCTGTGTGAAAGGTCTCTTCTATCACTGTTCCAACGATGACGAGGACAACTGTGCTGACAACCCGTGCTCTTGCAGCCAGTCTCACTGTTGTACACGTTGGTCGGCCATGGGCGTCCTGTCTCTCTTTTTGCCTTGTTTATGGTGTTACCTTCCAGCCAAGGCTTGCCTGAAGTTGTGCCAGGGGTGTTACGATCGGGTTAATAGGCCTGGATGCCGGTGTAAAAACTCAAACACAGTTTGCTGCAAAGTTCCCACTGTCCCGCCCAGGAACTTTGAGAAACCAACATAGCATTATTCTTAATCAGGAATATTACAGTGAATAGGATTGTTCCCCTCCTTTTTTTTTTTTTTTTTTTTTTTCCTCTTCTCCTTTTAACACACATATGCAACCAACTAAACAGTTATAATCTTGGCACTGTTAATAGAGGGTTGGGGTATTCTTTGCTGTTTGCAGTGAAATGCTTTTCTGTCCACGTGCCATTTTAACTGATACGCTTGTTAGAACTCGAGGTATGGGGCTACAGAACCTGGCGACTCACATGTTGCATAAGCTAAGGCAACAGACACTCCTAGGCAAAATGTTTCGGTTGTGAATAGTCCTTGCGAAATTTGTAAATTAGCAAATGACTTTTTTCCCCCCATTGTTTTCTTCAGAGATAATGTGCTATATTTTTGTATATACAATAATATTTGCAACTGTGAAAAACAAGTTGTGCCATGCTACTTGGCACAGTCACAAAATATTATACTAATATGTTGTACATTCGGAAGAATGTGAATCAATCAGTATGTTTTTAGATTGTATTTTGCCTTACAGAAAGCCTTTATTGTCAGACTCTGATTTCCCTTTGGACTTCATGTATATTGTACAGTTACAGTAAAATTCAGCCTTTATTTTCTAATTTTTTCAACATATTGTTTAGTGTAAAGAATATTTATTTGAAGTTTTATTATTTTATAAAAAAGAATATTTATTTTAAGAGGCATCTTACAAATTTTGCCCCTTTTATGAGGATGTGATAGTTGCTGCAAATGAGGGGTTACAGGTGCAAATGTTCAATATAAAATAGAAAATATATTAACGTTTGAAATTAAACAGAACTCTTGTCTTATTTCCCCCCTACCCCCTTTTTTTTTTTTTCAAAGTGAAAGAAACCAAACCAGATTCTATGTTAAAGCTAAGCATTTCAGTGAAATAGTTTCACTTATCTATAAGATTATTTTTATCTGTAGTTACTGCAGATAAAGTATCTTGGAGATTTGATGATTTTCAGAGATAATTCTAGCAATTGGGAGAGAAATAACTGAGCACTTGACACACTTACTGGTATTAATCATGGGGACATATTCTGGCTATCTCATTGCTCTTGTCCTTCCATCTGCTTTGGTAGATTTGGTGTCTTGCCTTTGTTTTTGCAAGGTGATTATTGTTTAAGTCTTAAACTGATTCATTTAGGAGACTAAAAGATTAACAATTAGACTTTTTTTTTTTTTTATATAGCCTCCAGTACTAAGCACAAATACTATGAAGCTAATTCAAGATCAGAGAAAGGAATTTAGTTCAATAAACATTTATTGAATATCCTCTGTCAGGCATGCAGAATACACAGAAATGCTTGCAAGTGAGGCCAAAATGTTTTCTTGACAAGCTGATCATGGCTATGATTTTTTTGTTTTTGTTTTTTCAGTCTGTTTGGTTTTAGACTCAATATTTGTTTTATCACCATGATTCCAAATATGTTAGGAAAGACATGGAAAACATAGCTTGTTTTGATTCAGGTAAAGAGTATCATGAAATGTCATCCTATACTGGCATACTAATTCAAGTTCAAACAGGACAATGTGAGAGGGCTCTGTCTTATTTAATCAAATTATCCAGAAAATTGTTGAATTTTACTTTGAGAAAAAGATTCAGCATGACAATAAGTCTGTGTTTGCAGTTGTCTTTGGGGAGCAAACACAGCAAGCTGCTACAAGCCCATCATGACACAAATGCAGGCGTTTTTTTATTTGTAACAAGTCACTTGATTAATAAGTCACTTTGTGGCGGATGATTTTTTTCTTTCAAAGGCACAACCTTTTGCTGCCAAGAATCTCCGGAAGTCTAGGAAATGATTTACCTGTCATTTTTTTTTCTCTCGTTTCCTGTTCTAAAGCTCCTCTGGTTAAGAGGTCTTAGTACAGGTTGTCTTATGTTTTGTTTTTAACTGGCTTTCAAGGAATTATATAGTCTCCTAAACCAACACATAGCTGTAAGGACTTTCAATGTCCTCAAAACTTACTCCAAAAAACGGAAGGTTACAATAATTTAGAAATTATTTACCCTTTACAGGATACTACATGATGCAATTCTAATCATCTTAAATTTTAACCCCTAAAATGGTCTAGGAGGAAGAAGAACGTTGAAAAATTGGGCAGGGTGGCTTGTTTACTGTCATTGGGTAGTTTGCAAGGTTTGTAAAGCACAAAAATTTTGATTAATTAGCTTTATTCACCGAAAACTGCCATATGTACTAACAGAAATTCGGTAAAGAAGTAAGTTTTTTTTTTTCACTGCATAAGCAGTTTTCAAAGTTCTTTAAACAAATGGCAGTGGAGCCCACTGGGTGTTTGTAGGAGAAGATTGAGAACCCTTCACTGAATCAGTCTCTTGATAGTCTGATAGTATGGCTTAGGAATTGGCATTTTTAAAATCATAACTGAAAATCTGCTTATTGATTTTCAGACAGAGAAAGGGAGAGAGAGAAACATCAATGTGAGAGAAACATCAGTTGCCACCTGTACAGAGCTGTACTGAGGACCAAACCCACAACCTTTTGATTTATGGGATGTAGCTCCAACCAACTGAGCCATCCAACTGAACTAGGAATTTGCATTTGTAATTGTTCCACTAGTGGTTGATTAGATGCAGTTTAAGAACTGACAAAGGAATTGCTAATTTTCCTTTTTAAAATTTTTTTAATGGAGTTGGATATAAAGTATCATTCACTAGGTTGAACATAGTGAGAAAAGGGTTTTGTGTTAAGTATTTATGAAGTCCTGATGAAAAGTCCTGAAGATAAGTAGGAAAATTGGATTTTTCAATAAGTTCCCAACCTGTTAAATGTTGAGTTTATCTAAAAACCAGTACAGAATTCATTTTCAGAATATATAAAATTAAATTTTTATGTTTTTAACATTAAAAACAGCTGGTGCTCTTCAGTGTGTTAAAGGGAATGTTTAAATTTTGCAAAGTCATCGCACTGAGATGGGAATAACACCTCAAGTTCTTAATATCTAAATTCATGAAAATTCATAAATACCATGAGTTTAAAATCATACTCATTATTTTGATATTGTGGTAGGTTCAGAGTAAAAGGTTGCAGCAAACCTCACTTGACTGCTAAACATGTATGGAAATCTTAACTATATTTTTCTGGCTTCTTGCATTTTTATTTTTTTTTTGAAACCTATACATTCTTTATATTGAGATTAATTTTAAGAGTGACAGCTTGAAAGTTACTTAAAACACTCATTTATGTGTTTTGAGGAGATGTTATGTAAGGCCCTACCAAATTTCTGCCTTGTTGGAGCATGCTCTGGGGGTTGTCTGAAAAAAGAAAGTGAAAACTTAGTGCAGGTACTCCCAACCAAACTGGCATAACTTCCTTCTCCAACCAACTTGTGTCTTGGGACTGCTAACCTCCAGGCTATGTAAGTTAAGACACTGATGATGTCAGAAAAGTGAATGTGCTCTTCGCACAGTGCTCTGAGGTATCTGAATAAGTTTAGAGTTTCACTTGCAGTTATAGCCACAATTGTCCATTTGCCTTCCTCTCTTTAATGTGCAAAAGGAACAGAAGGTCAGTGCAAAAGTCTAAACTTTGGAACTGTTTAGTGTTTAGTGTAGGTCAAAATCAAGATTGTCATCTTGTGCAGAATATTATAATTGAGGAAAGAAAAAATAAAAGTAGAATATTAACTAACGACAGCAATGCTGTATCAATATCCAATGTTTGGTTTTCATTGTTCATTAGGGCAAAAGTTATGCTGATTTCTATTTTAAATTAGGACAGTTGTCTCATTTCTCTGACATAACCAAGGGTGGGTCTCCACACATTGAAGACCAGAGCAAGTATGTGTGTGTGTGTGTGTGTGTGTGTGTGTGTGTGTGTGTTACTCCACATGGTTCTCAATGCCTATATATATAATATAGTTGGATTTTATGAGAGACAACCATGTGACTACGACTAATGACAGTACACCTGTGTACGAAATTAAACCTAAATATTAGCCTGGCCGGTGTGCTTCACTGGTTGAGCATTGACCTATGAACCAGGAGGTCACAGTTTGATTCTCATCAGGGCACATGCCCAGGTTGCAGGCTCAATCTCCAGTAGGGGACATGAAGGAGGCAACTGATCAATGATTCTCTCTGATAATTGATGTTTTTACCTCTCCTTCCTTACTCTTTGAAAAAAAAAAAAATAAATAAACCTAAAATAATTATTTAACATTGAAAAAGGAAAGGGAGATAGAAATAAAGCAAATAATAATAATAATAATAAAAGATTAACAAACTTTTTATCCACAGCTAGCAAATGTTTTTCATTTTTATTCAAAACTACACTTTTATTGACAAAGAAGTTTTAAAAGCCAGTCTCATTTGCAACTAATGTTTTTTAAGTAAACTATTAGAAGAGGTTAAAATGAAGCCTGTGGCCTTGGCCTCTGGCTTGGCTACATGAGACATAAGGCTTCAGCATACCGGAAGGAGTGCGTTTCTCAAAAACATTTCCAACACAGAACTGTTTAGCTTAATACATGGACCACGTGGAATGAGATTGCGCCGTGATAATTTGGCATTCCAAGTTAACTAATGCTTTTTGAATGCTACTCCATATGAGTGATAGGACTAGTTGATGTAATGCAAAAAGAAAGAGCTACCAATTCTTAATGTATGACAGGGCTTTTAAAATAAAGACACAAGCCCGGTGGCATCACAGTACTGTACAGATACTGGAAAAAGCCCTAATGCATTCTGTAGTGGGTTTGGTCTCCAGGTCTTGGCAATTATTTATTTATTTATTTATTTATTTATTATATATGATTTTATTGATAGAGAGAAAGAGAGAGAGAGACATCCATTGGCTGGGATCAAGCCCAAAACCTGGGCATGTGCCCTTACTGAATGGGAATTAAACCCATGTCCTGTTGGTGCATGAAACAACATTCAACCAACTGAGCCACACTAGCTAAGGCAATGGGTACCACTATTTAAATAGCCAGAGTTTTTTTTGCTAGGAGAGC